AAGCAATTAAGGGTTGGCAGAAGAACTTACCTAAGTGGAGAGAGAGAACTGTTTGAACCCAGGAGGTGGAGACTGCAGTGAGCCAAGACTGAACCACTGCACTCCAGCCTGGGTGACAGAGTGAGATTCCATCTCGATAAATAAACAAATGGAGAGGGACTAAATCATGATATAAGCAATTATAAAGGAAAGGTTATAGAGTTCTGAGGGTTTCTGTTGAGGATGGGGGAAACACAGCAGAACTTTTTACAATTTTTGTTGTTGGTGGGTTTTTTTTGAGACAAAGTTTTGCTCTTGTTGCCCTGGCTGGAGTGCAATGGTGCGATCTCGGCTTACCTCAACCTCCACCTTCTGGGTTCAAGTGATTCTCCTGCCTCAGCCTCCTGAGTAGCTGGGATTACAGGCGTCTGCCATCATGCTCAGCTAATTTTTGTATTTTTAGTAGAGACAGGGTTTAATCATGTTGGCCAGGCTGGTCTTGAGCTCCTGGCCTCAAGAGATCTGCCTGCCTCGGCCTCCCAAAGCGCTGAGATTACTGGCATGAGCCACCATGCCTGGCCTTCCATCCCTTTTGAGAACTAGTTTTTGTTTGTTTTGTTTTGAGACAGGGTCTCGCTCTATTGCCCAGGCTGGAGTGCAGTAATGTGACCATGGCTCACCACAGCTTGACTTCTAGGGCTCAAGTGATCTTCCCACCTCAGTTTCTTAAAAAGCTGGGACCACAGGCATGCACCACCACATGTGGCTAATTTTTAAATTTTTTTTGTAGAGAACAGATCTCACTATGCTTGCCAGGCTAGTCTTAAGCTCCTGAGTGCAAGCCGTCCTCCCATCTGGGCAACCTAAAGTGCTGGGATTATAGGCATGGGTCACCATGTTCAGCCAAGAACTAGTCTAAATAAGTTCTGAAATCAACATGTTGATCATCACAAGCGTTAACATATCAAAGGTATTCATTTTATTATATTAAGCTTTCTTCAGCAATGATCCTCAAAAGTCAACAGCTGAGTAAAGACTAAATTTGCCATTCACAAGAATCCATGAAACATAGGAGTTATGGTAAGATGCCGACATTCTGCCCTAATACCATCTTAAAGCTCTATTATTGTTTCCTAAACCTGCTCCCTAAAAGGTAAGACTCAGTACTTAACTTACAGTAGCTGCTTCCAACATAACTAGGACAAACAGCTCTGCTGACACTTAGTATTCAAAGATATTATGATCTGTGTTTCTGAGAAACAAAAAGACAAATAATGATACTGATTAATAGAAGTTTTAAATCTAGTAACAAAAAACCAAAGCAATGGTATAAAAGATGCTGCTTTTACTGCACTCCATGTTGTTGTCCTATATGATTAAAAGGCATGTAAAAAGGAACAGCCTGACATGCAGAGAGCTGACTGAGCAGCAACAGAAGGCTGGAAAAACATAATGCTGGCCTGTTGCCTAGGCTGGGACAGAGGGAAGCAAGGAAATAACTTATAATAAAATAGCCCAATTTTTGCAAAAAGTTACCTGCTCCAAAATGGCACAGTATCTGTCCAACTGTCCAGATGGTATTTTTGGTGATAAAGCCAAAAAAACTCTTTCTAAAAAAGTTATTAAAATCAAATAAAATTTTAAAATCCAAGTAAAAAAACAATAAAAAATAGTCATTATATATTTTTAAACACAAAAGAGTAATTTCTTCTGTAGAAAATAATTACTTCCTTTTTTGTTCATTTATTTTTAATTATAAAAATATTTTTACATAGAGATGGAGGTCGCTGTATTGACAACGCTGGTCTCAAACTTCTAACCTCAAGTGATCTTCCCATCTAGGCTTCCAAAGTGCTAGGATTACAAGCATGAGCCATCGCAGCCAACCACTTTATTTCTTTTCTTTTTCCTGAGACGTAGTTTTTACTCTTGTTGCCCAGGCTGGAGTACAGTGGCATGATCTCGGCTCACTGCAACCTCTACCTCCCGGGTTCAAGGGATTCTCCGGTGTCAGCCTCCCAAATAGCTGGGATTACAGGCATGCACCACCA